AAAAATATGATTTTAGGAGAAAATGTTAATGAATATAGTTCAGAGGTTCTTCCTGAACTAGAGATTCAACTGAAAAATATTCCTGGGGTTCTACAATATTCGGGGAAAAATTTTGAACTTAGAGGAGTTTGTAGTTATCGCCGTGGACTTAGTCGTCTTAGAACATCCATAGGTCACTATTTGGCATTGTGTAAACGTGGACCCAACAACTGGGAAATATACGACGATCTACAGAATAAACCAAAGGCTGTAAAAGAAACCACCACAGTTCCTTGTGAAATTCTTATTTACACAATATAAATTGGAATATCAAAATAAAATTTGTTAGTTTCGTTGTAAACAAGTCAAAGACATAAAATTACACTTATGTTTTTTATTCTAAATTTTTATCACTTTGTTTAAGGTCTTTTTGGATATATGTAATTCATAATATATAATATTAGTTATAATTTATATATTAAATAATAATAAATAGTATTTACTTTGGCGAATATTTATATTACATTAGTATCTATACTACCTATGTCAAAACTATAAAATTATGACTGGGATTGGTAAATTGAGTCCCAGCTAATAACAAATAATAAATGTTTTTTCGATTCTGAACGGAGTGAGGAATGTATTAATTTAACAATGATGTATGTTTTTTGTGTATGTGTACACCATAACTACATGAATTAATACATCAAAGTCAGAGATAGTCTCCAGTAGCAAATTGGAAACCAATTTTGCATTTTAAAGATTGAATAAAGAAAACCTCCAATAGTTTTCAAAAGCGTCAGAAAAAATCCTAAAAAAGCAATGGAAAAACAGGAATTTTTATTCAAACCCAATTTTCGACAAAAATGATTATTTTATTTTACAATAACTCAAAAAATAATAAGTTTAAAAACATTTTCACCAAATATTTATATTAGTGATGTCTATAGACAGTCAAATTTTCAAAGCATTTTGACTTTTTTTGAGCTATTTATTGACAATTTAAATTATGGATTTTTTTTTAAAATATCAATTAAAAATTTGGCCGCTCAAAAAATCTTGAAAATTTAATACAGAATGCCTTATAAGTTTTCCTTATGGGATATAAAAAAAACAAAAAGTGTAAGTCACAATTGTATTTTTACGAGTACATAGAGTTTAAATTTTTAAGAAATATGTAAAATTCGCGAAAATATGCAAGTGATAGTCGTGCAAATTCATGCTAATTGCGTGCTAAACGATGGCGTAGTTGAATTTTAGGAAATCGCAAAATTTCGATTTTGGGCGGTAATGGCGAAACGTACAAATTCTTGGATACGTTATTGCACGAAAACAACGATCGACCGAATTTCGGTGATAGTCGTGCAAATTCATGCTAATTGCGTGCTAAATAATGGCTATGAAAAAATATATGAAATTCTATTTTTGCGATTGGGCGGTGCTGGCGAAACGTTTCGCCAGCACCGCCCGTTGATTTTTGCGATTCTGGAGAAATGGATGACATGCAAATTGCGAAATTGGTCATGCAAATTCATGCTAATTACGTGCTAATTATTGATAAAAAAAAAATCAAATTTTCAAAATGGGCGGTGTTTAAATATATATTTAAGGTATAACTTGTGGGTACCTGTTTTTTTTAATATAAAAAATAAAATTTAAAAACAATTTTAAACAATTTAATTTGAAATCCTTTTGTGTTTTAATAATTTATAATTATCAGTATTTAATATTAAAAAAATCCTTATCTAATATGAATAATTTTTTTTCAAGTATTTGCATTCTTAAAATTGAAAATTATAATATGTGTAATAAGTTTTCTTACTGAAAAATTATGGGAATACCATAATTTTCTGTAGACCTTCATTAAACAATTTTTTAAAACCATCCAATCGTCATCTATCTATTATTATTAATAATGACTGTATTTATATTCTCTTAAAATACCTTAAATATAATGCTAATATTAAAAAAATCCAAAAATATCTCTAAAAATCTTCTTATATTCTCATTACATTTTCTTAAAAATCTTAAGAATATGCAAAAATATTCGAAATATACATAAATGCATAGTAAAAGATAAGTATTGTAAAATTTACAGAATAATTTTGATGAATAATACAAATAAAAAAAAATTAAAAAAGCAATTCAATTAGCTATTGAAAGTAAATAAAAACTCGGTAATATTAAAACAAATTTTTGTCAAGAAATCAATGATTTTAGGTAATAATAGAGTAATCAATAGTTATTAATTAATAGCTAAGGGAAACTTATGAATTTAATATTTTGTTATTTTTTTCCTGGATCACTGAGTTTAAGGTGGATTAGCTGGTATCTCTTCGAGTCAGAATTTGATTGTAACTGTAGAAGTAGCTCTTGTAAAAAACGTTTTTGATTTATAAGAGACTTTTTCAGTTTTTTTAAACGCCGAATTTCTTTTTCTGATTTCAAGTGCTTTTCAGTACATGAATCTCTAAGCTGAAAAACACATGATTTAATTAAATTGAGTTAAAGTTAAATTAAAAGAAACTGCTGTTTTTTAGTATGCAGCAATGCAAATATTATAAATTTAGTAGGTATAATTCTATCTAAAATATTTTTAATATTTTGAAATTTAAGTTAATAAGCATTGTTAAAAATACATGAGATGCAAAGGTTAAGTTGGTTATACATATCTATATTTTTGGTTTTATTTATATTAAATTAGACATCTTTTATTTCTATAGTTTTCTCAATCATACATTTTTGTTTATACATTATATTATATATATTATGAGTACTGAATTTCACTGAGAAGACTCATGTGGGGGCCAGGCATTCTAAATCAAATAACATAAAGAAATAACACTTCTATAATTAGTAGTTGATGATTTAAATTAAATTATCTTAGAGTAATTACGGTAAATTAATACAATATAATATTATTAATTTTTCATAAAAATTAATAACCATTGAAAAATGTATTTTACAAATGTTTACAAGTGCGTGTTCATAGTTTTTTTAAGCATTTTCATTGGTTTTATTGAAATTTGTACTACATTTTGGTAAATGTATAATGAAAGTATAATATACTATACCTACTTTGTTTCACATTAATTAATAAGACCATATGCTATCAGACAGTTAGAAACAAATATAGGTAGTATTGAAAAGTACCTAAAATTGAGTAATACATAGTATAGTTTAGTAAATTGAATAATGCTCTTACTTTGTTTTGTAAATTCGGTACATTTGCTGGAGTATCCATATTATCTTCGGCTATTTGATATTAATTTAAACTGCACTTGAACAACACTTTCAAATACTTCTGGTAACAAAATAGTAAAAAAAATATATATATGAGGAACTCCGAATGACGAACTATTAAAATGGTATTAATAAATGAGTTGCTAGGCCAGTGAAATAAAAGACATTTGTACTAAATTTTTAAAAAAATAACACAACACAGAACATAAAAAAACGTCATGCGAATTAAATGTGATACCTGGTAATTCGAATGGAGAAAAATGGCGGCTTGGAATACCCACCTCTACAGTGTCTTAAACCGGCTTCACACTACACCGTGCCGTGTCGTGTCTTCTAATATAATCATCTCTGATTGGCTGAACCATATGGTTACATCAAGGTATACCGTAATATAAGGTTACCTCACTAACCATCAATACCGTGAATTTGATTTTATCCAACTTTTGAGCGTGTGGTTACCGATTTTAATAGTAATAATTTAATATTATATGATAACAGTATTCATTATAACAAAAGGCTCGGAAGGTGTTGCATTTGCATGATTTTATTGGGATATTCAATTTATTGCTAAGTAACCTTAAAATTATTTTCATGACACTATAAAAAACCTATGGGAACATTTTGAAAGAAAATTTTAAATTTCAAATTATTTATTTTATTTTATTTTATCTTATATATTTATACCTAGAAATTGTGTTTAGCTTAGTATAATATACTAACAACATTTTTATTGTTAGGTACGAGTATATTTAATAAAATATCTTTATTTATGAACATTTTTGTGTTAAAAAAAAAAAAAATTAAGTGCATATTTTTGAAGCAAATTTGTATTTTTTAAGCGTATAAGTGCATGCATATTTAGTACTTTTTAAGTGCATTATGTTCTGAGCCCTAATAATAATGTAATACATACTATCTACTATATAATTTAATATTCATCAGTTATTATTTATTGAAACTCATGAAAATATTTCATATAATAAGAAAACAAAGTACAAAGAAAACTAAATAAATTATGAAAAACAAATATATTTTACAAAAGGTTTACATACAATTAAATATTAAGCTAGATATTTATAAACATACATGATACTTTACATTGATTTATAACATGGATATGTTTTTTAGATGGATAACAAGAAGAATTGCGAGAACAGTAAATTACCCTTCTCTAATTCCATTGATTACTAAAATAATACAAGTTAAAGTTTTAACCCGAAAACATATCCAAGATTTAATTTTATACATAATTATATGTTACCATAGTTGTTTAAAATTTGGTCCATTTTTATTGAAAATATACAATTAAAAAAATGTAAAGAATTAAAATTGTTGTTGAAAACAGTATAACCTATTAGTATTTTTCCCGTTTTGAAAATCGGGGGATATTGTATAACTTTTATCAATATAAATTATATAATTGGATTTAGTAATTTTCGATTTTGTCAGTTGGTACTGCTTTTTCAAATTTCGGATCTTATCTTTTCTTAGGCCCTTATCATTTTTCAGACAAGTGCCAATCACTCCTACTGCTGTGCTTGTAGTCACTGATAACAATGTTTGGATTCGGAAAACGTAACATAAACACTACGATTCACGATTGTTAAACCGTTTTGATGATTTTAACACTGTTGAAAATTGGTTCTAACTCGTATTCCGCCTCTTCATTAATACAATTTCCAGAAGAACAATTCATATTTTTTTTTCTTGTGTATTACATTCGTATATGTTAGTGTCATCTATTTTCGATACACAGTAAACATAATTAACTATACATCATGTCAAAACGATTGTCAATTGAAATCGAGAATTCCTCTAAAGGTATGTTGGTTAGAATATTCAGTGATCATAGTTTAAAGAATATTTGCGCCGTAAACACGTGTGTGTTACTGTTGCGTTATAGATAGTGATGACAGCAAAGAAAAACAACAGCCGGACAAAAAGCAAAAATTATCATTTGGAATGATGAAAAAATCTTTTCCAGCCAAAACTGGCATTAAGATAAAGCTTAACTCTCCTGCAACTGTAAGTACCGTACTGTAAATACCTATACCGTAGATACTCATACTGGGTATTAGCTACAAAATATATTTATATACAATTTTGAAATGTGTGTATATTTAAGACATGTTTTTTTTTAAAAAATTTGTGATCCAAATTGTGTACAGTTGTACATGACACATATTGAATGTTTTCCATTTTGAGAGACTAATTGTGATGTATGTGTAGACATTTTAAATAAACTATATTTGGAATTATTATATTATAAAATATTTTATTCCATATTATAGATGCTATTTAGGTTTCCTGATTCAATAATAAGTGACTTAAGTATTAACTCAGTGATAATGTTAATACTTAAAAATTGAATGTATTATATTTTGTGTATACAATAAAAAAATAATAGAAAATGAATCCAAATCTTTCACAATTAGATTTTTTCACAATATTCAAGATATGATGTATTATTGTTATAGAAAGAACCACCTGTTCTACCTAAACCAGCATCCAAATCCGTTGCAGCAGTATTTGGTGATGTTAGTGATGACGAGCCTGAAGAAATGCCCAAAGAAGCAAGAATGCGCATGAGGAATATCGGCAGAGATACACCTACTTCAGCAGGACCTAATTCATTTGGCAAGACCAAACATGGTTTCTGCAACACTGGAAAACTAATGGAAAAAACTCTTAAAGAAGCTACAAATGCATTAATCAATGATAAAAAATAGTTGAATAAATGACATTAATTTTCTTTTCACAATTGTGAATATTGTATTTAAGCCTTTTGCACAAAACTAGTTTTAAGCATTAATTAAGATAACCATGATTATGTGTTTATAAAGAATTATTTTAAGATTTTTTATTACATAGCCCATTCAATTGACATTTTTTTTTTTTTATATTTGATGTATAAAGTATACAAGAAATAAATTTTTTTGTTATTATCATCAAGCAAAACTGTCATGTAAAATTAACTCGTAAGAGTACTCAAATATTCAGTGAAATTATAAATTGTATCAGTTTAATGTGCTATAATTGAACAATTCATAATAAAAGAAATTCAAAATTAAAAAAAAACATTGAAATAACTATTTGGTTTATTTATAAAATAAAAATTTATTGTCAATAACCAATTACCGTAAGAAAATTAAATATTTTGTGTTTTTAATAATCTTAGTTGATCTTAAATCAAAGTTTCATGATTTTGATAGTTAAGTAATTTAAAGACATATAATCATGAACAACTTTACAAAAAAAAAAAGTTTAGTAATTTTATAGAGCTTTTTATACATCAATTACAGGGAAGTAGCATTATTCTATTGAAATTCTGTAATAGAGGAACTTTGCAAATTCAAAATTTTCTATAAATTTGAAAATAATATATATTTTTTGAATAATTCAATCCATCAACTCAATATTTTAAAACAATAAAAACAATTAATATTCAATTAAACCTTTATAAAAATTATGTTGAGTATTAGGGTGGCGCCACACTATTAAAGGCTAGATCAAAAGTGGCCAAATATTAAAGACTTGTGAAATTTTCTAAGTTATCACGATTAACCAAAAAAAAAAAAAAATGTCATTGAACAAAAATATATTTATATACATGCATTTTGCATGTTTAGGAATGCCATCCATCCCGATATATCGTAATTTTTACCGTTATTGAGCTCTCTACCCTAAAAAATGTTACGATTAAAACTAATCATTGCAAATTTTGCTTCATTATTGCATATAAATATGCGTTTGAAAATTAAAAATTACGTTTTTATCTCGCACGACTAAACGTGAGAGTTTTTCGTTAATGACGACCCATATGAATAAAATCGCCTGCTTCGAGAGAGACTATGGAGTCGATTTTACAGTGTCAATTTAATTAGTACATGACTTGCGTAGAGTTCTACAAATATGTTGAAGGGAACAAAGGACTGCTGAAAAAAGCAAAATCTTATGAATAATATGGCTATCCAAGTACTTTGCAATAAATTAAAAATTTATTTTTTAATGTAACTTAAATAAACATATATTTTATCTAAAAGAAGGAATTATCATTTTTATTACAAAATTATTTTTATATTCTCCATCTTACAATTATAAGTACATTCCGACGAGATCCTAGCTAAATACGGCTTTAGGGTTTTAGGAGTCCGTCCCCCTACTTTTCATAAAATAAAAGGATATCAATAGGTATTTGTAATTATAATAATTTATATAATATAATTTAAGTTTTTTAATAAGCATTTAAACCCCTCCTTTGGGTAATTCCTGGCTATACCACTGCGGCCAATTAATATTTTTCAGAATGGCTGAGGTTTAAAAAATGAGGAATTAAGTTAAATTCAATTTAATTTGATACTCATAGGTGAAACATAACAAATACATACAGTTTTAATGGTTTCAGATATTTGTTTGAAAATCAAAATTATTAATAATGTGAAAATAGTATCATATTATAGTTATTATTATAAGTACTTGGTTTAATTATAATTATGAAGCTTAATATTTAATTTAATAAAGGTTATTAAAAAAAAAAAAATAGTTACATGGTTACAGGTACATATATAAAAAAAATAAATATATACAATTTTTATATTTAAAAATTAATGATATTTATAATATTAGGTCAGTATTTTTTTTTTTATAGAAGCAAAGCGATTAATTATATCATCAACTGATGTATTTATTTCACGATGGATATGTAGTACAGCCAAACCGCATAATCGATCTTGTCCCATCTTAGAACGCAACCAAGTTTTTAATCTATAGCAACAGCAATCAATAAAAATAAAGCAGCTTATAAACAAAAACAAAAGCTTAATACAATTAGGGTAATAGTTAATCATTAGTACATCATTAAAAAGTGTATTAAGTTAACATCAATGAAAATCAGTTAAGTTGAAAATTGAGTTAATTATGATAATGTTAGAAACGGATAAAAATTATTACCTTCTTAATGTGGAAAATAATCACTCAGCTGAAGCTACACTAATTGGCAAACATGCAATAATATGTAGGGTTTTTTTAATATTAGGATAAAGAATCTCACTGCATAACTCAAATGAAGTCATAGCATCCAAATTTGATATGTTACTTAATTCTGAAATTTAAAATTATGTTTTTACTATTTATTTAAAGATTACTATTTTAAAGTACATATTGTACTAAATTTTACAAACCTTCATTCTTTTCTCTAATCCACTTAGATTTCCAAAGATTCAGTTCACTCTTAAGCTCTGTTTCATTAATTTCATTATCATCAAAAGTAAAATACTTTATAACTAATTTTAGTAAATTATGTATATCTTCATCATCAGTTTCAACAATATTTCTAGGAACAACCTGAGATAATTTTAACAAGGCTTGACTTTTTTCATTTAAGAACCAACACTTGAGGTCATCTAACACACTATCTAAAAGTGAAATATAAATAGATATTCTGTAATAATCCTCTACAGAATTGGTTGAATAGTTGCATCTTGAATTTTGACGAGATACTATGCGTGGTTTTTTTATATCAATTTCAAGTATATTCATTTCATTTTTACATTCTTCAAATAATGACTTGAATTCATCTGTACTGTTTTGTCTTTTTTTTTCTAAGTTATCTATGACATCATTAATCACTTTGGTTGAGTTACTTATATCTGCATTGATACTTTGTAATATCCTACTTAAAAAAATTGTAACACATAGTAATGAAGCAAGTGAATAAATTGATACCATAAATTCGCAGGTACATAAGGCAGTCAATAATGTTCTTGCCTTTGATGATGAGTAATTTTCTTGCCATGATGATATTGCGGTTAATGCTTCCAAAATATATGGTAATGATGACTTTAAAATTATAATACTAAAATGCCGTTTAACCCATCGTGTTTCACATAAACTTCTGAGGCGTGCTTTCCCTTTTAAAACTGCCAGTAGTACATAATTTCTTTTGGAGGACATGTTGAAAAAAGAAATAACCTCTTTCATTAGGCCTACACTATTTCTGATAGCTTGAACAAATGAAGATTTAGAAATTGACAAATTTAATGAATGGTTCGAACATGGACAATGATCAGCATGAGGCGCATATGTTTGTACTTTTTGAACAGCTTCACGTATAGTAGACGTCATAACTGAACATCCATCCGTTGCCATGCCGACACAATTCATCCAATTTAAATTTAAATCTTTAAGGATAGAAACAATTTGTTTCTCCTAAAATTTCTCCAGACAACTTTGGTTCTAATGCAATAATTATTGTATTTAAATCTAAATTGTCTTCATCGTTCAGGTGTCGATTTGTCTTATCAGAAGAAAACGCATAATCATGGTAATTAATAAAAGTTATAAAATTTTTCTTAACAACTCCCTTATGAACATATCTTAAAATAAGGATCATTTGAGAAGTATGGCTGACATCGGTGGTTTCGTTAAATATTATACTAAAGTACTTATTTTCATTAACTTCATTAATAATTTTTTTAATAATAAAATTCTGACAACATTTAATCAGTTCATTTTGGTGTAATGGGCTGATATATGTTGCTTTAGAATTTTCTGACTTTAAATGTTCATCTAGCACACTATCGCCAGATAAGATTCGATACTTAAAAAGTTCTCGAAAATTCCCTTGGTTAATTGTAGACTCTACAGTAGAAAGTTGTGAATCTTCATTAAATGAAGATAACTAAAAATTTTTTAAAAAGTTTTTCGGAGTCATGGTTTCCCCTAAGTGGGATGTTTTGCCTAGTAAGAAAAATAATTGACTTTATAATTGATTTCAATCTTTGTCGGTTCTCTACAATTTGCTTATGTCTATGGGTGCTAACCATATTGATAATTTCATTTTGTGGGTTTTTATGGTTAAATAAAAAATATTCTGCTGTTGTAATTGCATTTACATGGTACTGATGGCTATTATGAACTGCCTAGTCGCCTATTTTATCCGATATCTTTGCATATTTAGCTAAAGCAACCAATTTTTGTAAAACCACGTTTTATATTTTCCTCCTTTGTTGGCAAAAAACACAATATTTACAATATAAATCATTTTTTTGGGGAGAATACACTAGCCATTTGTACGTTTCAAAATAAGTTCTATTTAAGTATCTCTTTTCTTGTTTACCTTTCTTTATGTGTGTACTAAATGGATATACAAAATTATTCACAGGTATGTTAGAAAGCTCTAATACAGTGGTTCTCAACGGGGGCGATATCGCCCCTCAGTGGGCGGTGAAGTATCACTGGGGGGCTTTGAACTATTTTTGGGTGGTAGGGGGGCGGTGAACTAGTTTTGGGTGGTAGAGGGGCGGCAAAATCAACAAAATGACTACTTTGGCAAAATGTTTATTAAACTCATCGCCAATTAAGGATTTATAGTAATTGTACAATTTTCATAAGTGACAATTTCACTGAAACTTTTATTTTTTGGTTTTTTTTTTAATAAATTGAATAGATAATAATTTTCCATATTTTTTTAGTTATTTCTTAAATAATTGGCCGATGCTTCTCCAATGAATGAACAAAATAAAATAAAATAATTTTAGACATTCACATTTCACAGTATTATTTGTATATTGTATTATATTGTATATTCTACAGTAAACGTTTATTTTTATAATTTCTTGACTGGAGGGAAAATAATATTAATAACTGATAATACATGAAGAGTGAAATGACCGTAGTGAAAAATAATCTCAATAAATACGAACATAATATAACCTAACCTATGCTATTTATAAATAATTAGAAATAAATTGAAAAAAAAAACATTTTTAACCTAGACCAAAAGAACAAAAGACCGAACCGGACTACATCAGTGATATTAAAAATATATTATGATTGAACCAAACCTAACCCATTATATGACTTCCCAGGCCCGAACACATCTAA